TATTCAATCTTTCATCACCTAATCTTTTTGTTATCCTCATAACCTTACTCTTTCCTGTATTCACCTTTAATTTTCTTCTTTTGCACACCCTACCAAATTCATCACCAATCTCTGCAGCTTCTCTTCAGAATCTCCCAAGAGCACAGTGTCATCAGCAAAGAGCAGCTGTGACAACTCCCACCCTGTGTGTGATTCTTTATCTTTTAACTCCACGCCTCTGCCAAGACCCTCGCATTTACTTCTCTTACAACCCCATCTATAAATATATTAAACAACCACGGTGACATCACACATCCTTGTCTAAGGCCTACTTTTACTGGAAAAAATTTCCCTCTTTTCTACATACTCTAACTTGAGCCTCACTATCCTCGTAAAAACTCTTCACTGCTTTCAGTAACCTACCTCCTACACCATACACTTGCAACATCTGCCACATTGCCCCCCTATCCACCCTGTCATACGCCTTTTCCAAATCCATAAATGCCACAAAGACCTCTTAGCCTTATCTAAATACTGTTCACTTATATGTTTCACTGTAAACACCTGGTCCACACACCCCCTACCTTTCCTAAAGCCTCCTTGTTCATCTGCTATCCTATTCTCCGTCTTACTTTTAATTCTTTCAATTATAACTCTACCATACACTTTACCAGGTCACCAACAGATTATCCCCAAAAAAATTTTTGCATCCTTTTACCCCCTTTGCCTTTATAAAAAGGAATATGCATGCTCTCTCCCAAATCCTAGGTCCTTACCCTCTTCCAACATTTATTTAAAAATTGCACCAACCCTCCAAAACTATATCCCCACCGCTTTTAATTTTCTATTTTTATCCATAAATCCCGGCTGCCTTCCCCCTTTTCATTTACTACGCCTACGAACTTCCCCCCATCACATGGCTTTTCCCACCCCTACAAGATGTTGTTCCTCCTTGCCCTAAAAACCGAAATCACGTTTCCCCTATCTTCATAACTTTTAACAATTCCTCAAAAATTCCCCCATCTTCCCAATACCCTAACTCTCCATTTAATAATTTCCCTCTCCTTTTTTTAAAACGCAAACCATTTGTTCTCTAGGCTTCCTTAACTTGTTAATCTCATCCAAAACTTTTTCTTTTTTCAACAAAATTTGTTATAACACCACCCCTCTCATTTGCCTTTTTTTTCATTGCTTCCCCCTCTCTTAACCCTCTTTTTTTCTCCATATCCTTCCCCCTTGCATCACTTCTATTTTTGTAAAAACTTTCATAGCAACTTTTTCTCCCTTATACTCTCTTTACATCATTTTTCCACCATCCCCTTTCCCCCCTCCTCACCCTTTTTCCTGAAAACCCAAAAAACTTTGTGAACACCTAACACTACTTTTTAAAACCTCCCCCTTTCCTCTTCGACCCATTGCCTATGCTCTCTTACCCCATCTACCCCCCAATAGCTTTTTATATTACCCTAACTGCCTCCTCTTTTATTTTTAAAAAACCTTCACCTCTCTTTTCCCCTGATGCTTATTCTCCTTGTACCCCATCTCCCTTTTTTACTCTCAGGTAGCTACAACAGAAAGTGATCTGTATATCGTGGCCCTCGATAAACATGTAATCCTGAAGTCTATCAACATCTTTTACTACTAATACATAACCAAAAACTACTGTCTTTTTCCTTTTTCATCTACGGTTTATTTTTTATCCTCTTTTTTTAAAATATTTTTACCATAACTAAACCCCTTTCTATACAAGTTCAACCAAAGGGCTCCCATTACTTTTACCCTGGCACCCCAAACCCCTACCCACCCTCCAAAAATTTCTCCTACTTTAGCATTAAAGCCCCCTACCACAATTCTCTCTCCTTGGTTAAAAGGGGCCCTTACATTATTTAACACCCCCAAAAACTTCTCCTCCCGCTTCCTTTTTCTCCAGGGCATACCCCTTTTATGACCCATTCTCACATCCCCTTTTATTTAACCAATAATTCCGAATTTACACATTATATTTCTTTTCTCCCTTTCCATAACTGATCATTTAACTTACTGCTACCCCTTCCTTTTTCCCAACTCTTCAGATACTCCAGATTTAAACCCATTTATTTCCCCCCACTGAAAACCTCCACCCCCCTTTAGCTTTGTTTCGCTTGACCGGACATCCAAATTCTTTTCATTCATTACATCAGCAATCATTTTGTTTCTTGTCATCCGCCTACATCCACGCACTTTAAACAACCCTTTTTTTAAAGTTTTTCTTCTTCTCTTTTTTAGAAATGTATACAGGGGAAGGGGGTTCAGCCCCTTGCTCCCGGGTTTTAGTCGCCTCATACGAACCCCATGGGTTACGGGGGGAAAAAATTTTTTTTCCATTCCCCATGGGCAATATACGTATATATTTTTATATATATATATATATATAATAATATTTTTTTTTTTTTTTTTCAAAAATCGGCTGTCTCCCACCCAGCAGGGTGACCAAAAAAAAAAAAGAAAATCCCCAAAAAAAAAAATGCTTTCACATCATTCCACTTTTACCCCACTCACACTAAAACACTGTTTTTGCAGAGGTGCTCGTACAACAGCTTAGAAGCATATACGTATAAAGATACAGAACATATCCCTCCAAAACTGCCAATATCCCAAAACCCCTCCTTTAAAGTGCAGGCATTGTACTTTCCCATTTCCAGGACTCAAGTCCGACTATATGAAAATAACCGGTTTCCCTGAATCCCTTCACTAAATATTACCCTGCTCACACTCCAAAAGATCGTCAGGTCCCAAGTACCATTCGTCTCCATTCACTCCTATCTAACACGCTCACGCACGCTGCTGGAAGTCCAAGCCCCTTGCCCACAAAACCTCCTTTACCCCCTCTCTCCAACCCTTTCGAGGACGACCCCTACCTCGCCTTCCTTCCCCTATAGATTTATAATGCTTTCCATGTCATTCTACTTTGATCCATTCTCTCTAAATGACCAAACCACCTCACAACCCCTCTTCTGCCTCTGACTAATACTTTATAACTCCACAACCTTTTCCTAATTTCCACACTCCGAATTTCTACATAATATTTACACCACACATTGCCCTTAGACAGGACATCTCCACTGCCTCCAACCGTCCCTCGCTGCTGCATTTACCACCCAAGCTTCACACCCATATAAGTGTTGTACTACTATACTTTCATACATTCCTTTCTTTGCCTCCATAAAACATTTTTCGACTCCACATATACCTCAATGCACCACTCACTTTTTTTCCCTCATCAATCTATGATTAATATATATATAATATAATATAAATATAATATATATATATATATATACTATATATATATATATATATAATTATATATATATAATATATATATATATATATACAGTGGTACCCCCGCTAACGTCACCTCCCAATGCGACCAATTATGTAAGTGTAATTATGTAAGTGCGTTGTACGTCGTTTTGGGGTCTGAAATGGACTAATCTATTTCTCAATATTCCTTATGGGAACAATTCTGTCAGTACTGGCACCTGAACATACTTCTGAATGAAAAATATCGTTAACCGGGGTCCCTGTATATATATACAGTGGACCCCCGGTTAACGATATTTTTTCACTCCAGAAGTATGTTCAGGTGCCAATACTGACCGAATTTGTTCCCATAAGGAATATTGTGAAATAGATTAGTCCATTTCAGACCCCCAAACATACACATACAACGCACTTACATAAATACACTTACATATTGGTCGCATTGGAGTGATCGTTATGCGGGGGTCCCCACTGTATAATATACAATATATATATATATATATATATATATATATATATAATTATATATTATATATATAATAATATATATATTATTATTATTATTATTATTATTTATTATTAACACATTAGACGTTTCCCACCAAGGTAGGGTGGCCCGAAAAAGAAAAACTTTCACCATCATTCACTCCTTCACTATCTTGCCAGAGGTGCACTTACACTACAATTATAAAACTCCAACATTAACACCCCTTCCTCAGAGTGCAGACACTGTACTTCCCATCTCCAGAACTTCAATCCAGCCTGTTGGTTTCCCTGAACCCCTTCATGTTACCTTGCTGACACTCCAACAGCACGTCAAGTCCTAAAAACCATTTGTCTCCATTCTCTCATGTTTTATTATATTATAAAAAAGTTGATACATTCCAAGATTATCAGAGAAGGTTATTTAAACATAAATTATTTTATAGTTTAATATAAAGAAAATATAAATTTGGTTTTTATTTACAAAATAAATAACAAAATTCTAAAAAAAGTGTATTTGTAATGTGACTTATGGGAGAGAGTTGGTGACGAAGGTGCAGATTATCCTTGAGGAAAGCAACTCTTATCTCCCACTACCACAATACGGGGAAATGCCTCTATTGCCTCTGCCTACCATTGAAAATATGGGGCGACTGACAGATACAAATACCGTAATGATTCTGTGCTATATAAGGCAAGTTTTAGATAATGACCATACTTAATTATACAGTAAACCCTTTTACAATGTGAATTCACAGTGTGCAATTTATTTGCAACTGATTAAAAGTGTAATTGAAAACTTAGAGCAGGAAAGCCTTTATAAGACATACATGTACCATAAAATACAAGCTGTGCTACATGCCTCCTTCCCTCCTGCAGTGATGTATGACCCTTATGGGTTTAGTGCTTAGTTATAATTATAATGAACCTTCCCTCCTACTGACAACACACACCACTAGTTATATTCTGAATGCTTCTTCTACCTCTGTGTTTATCAAGCTATTACAATTTTCATCACTGTTTTGTCTTTGGATATTTAATACTGGAAGAATTAATGTGAATCTATTATTTTGTTAAAGAAAATGGAAGATAGATGTGTTTAAAGTGATGCATGTTTGCTGGAAACTGATTGTGAGTATTGTGTGAATGATTCACTTTTGTACAGTTGAAAATGACACTTGAGGGAAAAATAAAGAACTTGTGCAATAAGCAATACAAAGTGACATGTGTTCAAAAAAAAATGTCAAGGCTAATACAGCTCAATAACATGTTAAAGTTATTGAATGTGTGGATTGGGAAAAAAAAAAAAGAAAGTCCCAGAAAATAAAGCACAAAGCACTATCTTTTTAGAAAGTTGTGTGTGAGAAGGGAGATGAGCCTTTGAAAGCTTTAAAAAATGCAATTATCTTCCTAAAAAAAGTTTTCTGGTCAGCTTTATAAAGTGCTGAAGGGTAAAACACACCAGAGACATATTACAGAACATGTACATGAGTACTCGAATGGAACCAACAACTGACAAGTCTGCATCCACATCAGTACAAGAACCACAACCATCCATCTCAGTCCAGTTTACCCCACATGAATCATCTCCTCTCACTTTTCCCCTCAAGGAAGGTTCCTTGATGCTGGTGAGGAGCTCTTGATCTAAGGAATTGGATCTGTGCTCCAGTTCCCTGAATTAAGCCTGAATACCTTTCACATCCCCCCAACCTGCGCTGTATAATCCTACGGGTTTAGCGCTTCCCCTTTATAATAATAATCTACAATCCTCACTTTCTTTTCAATTATTATTATTATAATCAAAAAAGAAGCGCTAAGCCACAAGGACTACACAGACTTTCATTTCAAGAACACACAACTACCAGAATGTAAGGCGAATTATTCTGGAGTAATTTTTAACTAGTACTATACAATAATAAAGTATAATGTAATTTAGAAAACCAAGTTGAAGCAAAATCATTTGTTTGGCAAATTTGGTGGAGTCTGAATATAACCTATAAGGGGATAATTCCCTATCCATTCATAGGATAAGTTCCTTAAATGTCTTGAATGTCTAGTGCAGTTAACATCCTTGCTATTAGTAGTATATCATTGATGTCAGCTAGGCCTGTATACCTTGTACTTGTAGAAATAAAGATACTAAATACCATAGCCATAGACATGTGTCACTGTGCAGTTGAGTGAGGAGCCTTTCCTAGAGTCATTTATGTGCTGTCATACTGTCCAACCTTTCACCCCCTTTGTCTGACCAGTCTTGAAGAACACAGTCTATACAATGCTTTTGCTGCTGAGTTTGGCCCTGGCTCTGTTGTCTACTTCTGTAGCCTTTCTTCTACCCCCACCTGTTCTTCTTCTATCCTTACTGTATATATTAATAGTGCAGCTAAATGCTCAGGGTAAAATTAAATGTCAATTTATCAAAATACGTATTTAAGAACTGTTTAAATTTTTTTCGTAAATACCAAATATACAGTACTGTACTAATATAGTGGTTATTACAGTAGTATTATGACACAATAATAATAATTACCTAAACAACTAATTTCATAATTAATAGTAATTATAATAAATATACTGATAATACGACTAAAACAGCAACAATAGCAATCATTAGTGCAATTCAGCAACAATATTGAAGTGTGATAAGAGTCGCCTACAACATATACACAACTAGATAATAAATATTTGTTCTTGCTAACAAGAACAACAACAGTTTTGTACATTATATAACAGAGACATAACTATAATACATAATGCTAATTTAAACCTGTAGAATTAGTTAAAATGCTGATCGACTCACATGAATAATTATATATGGATGTATGTCAAGCTAATTAAAATGGTATATTTCCTGGAGTTTACCTGGAGAGAGTTCCAGGGGTCAACACCCCCACGGCCCGGTCTGTGACCAGGCCTCATGGTGGATCAGAGCCTGATCAACTAGGCTGTTACTGCTGGCTGCACGCAAACCAACGTACGAGCCACAGCCCGGCTGGTCAGGAACCGACTTTAGGTGCTTGTACACGAACAAATATGTTAACATACAGTTAACATATGTTAACATTATTATAATCATGGAGGAGCGTTAAACCCGTAGGGATTATACAGCACCTGTGGGGGGAGGTGGAAGGTATTCAGACTCAAGTCAGGGAACTGGATCACAGTTCCAATTCCCTATGTCAGATCCTTCACCAGTGTCAAGGAACCTTCCCTGAGGGGTTCACATGTTGTGGCAACATAGCTACCCCTCAGGAGATGCCCGAGAGGGACACTTGATCCAATGAACAAGACTTAACCTCTTCCCAGAATCGAACCTGAATGCTTCTCATTCTCCAGGCGCCATATAACCCCCACAGGTTTAGCTCTTCCTCGTGAATAATACGAAAAGGTGAACAGCATGGCTAGAGGCTGGGCATGATGTGACAGGGGTAGCGGGTATGACAGGAGCCACCACCAGCCCTGAAGTGTATAGCATCTTCCATGTCCCACGTCAGGCGTTCATACTTCTCCAGCGAGTACCCCATGAACCTGTACAGTTGAGAACTGGATATTAGTAACCTAGACAGTTGAGACCTGGGTATTAGTAGCCTATACAGGTGAGAACTGGGTATTAGGTCTGGAGTTTTATGACTCTGATTGTGGGTTCTATCCCAGCCCGGGGTATAGTTTATTAGTAACCTACACAGGTGAGAACTGGGTATTAGTAACCTACACAGGTGAGAACTGGGTATTAGTAACCTACACAGGTGAGAACTGGGTATTAGTCAAATGTTATAAGTTTACTAATCAATTTTATAGCAGTAATTGCAGTGGTAATCAGTGTAGTGGATTAATAATTAGTGAATAGATTGTTTTCGGTACTTCCTTCAAGTTGGTTGCCTTGATGGAGGTGCAGAGCTCTTGATTCAAGGAATTGAAGTTGGCCTTCTTCCTTGGATCAGACATGATTACCAGCCATTCACCCAGGTGCTCTATGATCCGGGCTTAGCACTTTCCCGTGATAGTGTCAGTCTGACATGACCAACACTCGAGGTGTGAAGTGTGAGGATCACCTGTGGTCGCTTCTGAAGGTCACCGCCCCTGCGGCCTGGTCCAAGACCAGGCCCTCCTAGTCCAAGACCAGGCCCTCCTGATCCAAGACCATGCCCTCCTGGTCCAAGACCAGGCCTCCTGGTCCAAAACCCGGCCCCCCGGGCCCAAAAACCAGGCCTCCCGGCCAAAACCACCCCTTTACCCCAAACCCCCCCCTTAAAGCAGGTTGGTCCTGCCCCCCCCCTTTCCCCAAACCCTTTTCCCTTCCTCCCTGGGCCAAAAACCCCCCCCTTGTTAAAAACTTTCCCCCTTTCCCCAAAACCGGCCCTTTTTCCTGGTCAAACCGGGCCCCCTTTTTTGGCCCAAAACCGGGCCCTCCCTTTGTACGACCTTTTCCCCCCTTCCTCCGGCCTCCTCCGTAAAGGGGGGTTTTTCCCAAACCCCTCCTGTAAGGCCCAAACCCTCTTGGGCCTCCCCTTCAATTTTCCCCCAAACCCTTTTGCCCTCCTTTTTCCCAAAGGCCAGGTTTGGTTTGTGGGTTTAAAACTGGGGAAAAAATTCCAAATTCCCTAATTAAGGTGAAAGGGTTGAATTTTCCTTATTGAGTGGGAAGCCGGGGGGGCCCAGGCCCCCAAAATTTTCGAGTTAGGGTTATTGGTTCGGGTTCCGGGGGTAATTAAAATTTTTTTCCTTGGGTGGGGGACCGTTAGAGGGTACTTTTGGGGGGTTTTGCCCCCCCAATTTATTTTTTCCCTTGGGTGGAGGGAACCCGGGGGTTGAAAGGGTTTAACCTAAGCCCCCGTTTGAAAGGTTCTGGTTGTTTCGAGGGTAATTTCCGGGCTTATAATTAACCCGGAAAAAAAGCAGGACACCTCCAGGGTTAAGGTCATGCCTTTTTAAAATTTAAAAAACGGGAATGGGTTATAAACTGATGCGGCCCACCACCTTCACAGGTAAGGGGGTGAGAAGAGGGCTTCATTACAAGCCCGCCTTTGGTCTTCCCCTTTAATCCCTCCGGCCCCCTTTTTTCCCAAGCCAAACCCCAAAACCCCCAGCACCAAAAAAGAAATCGGAAAAGAAAAATTTTCTTTGGGTTTTGGCCCCAAGAATAAGGAAACTCCTAAGGTTTAAGGGGTTTCCCCCCCTCCACTTTTTAGGTCCCTTTATAATTTCCCCCAATTTCCTTCTCCGAAAAACCCCAAGAATTAAAGTTTGAAACGGGCCCAAAAAGTTTAACCCCAGGGTTGACCCTTTAAAGAAGGGGCTTTTTCCCCCGGGGGTCTTCCTGTCCAATCCCCTTTTTTCTAAAAAAAGGGGGGTAAAAGGGTACACGGGTTAAAAATTCAAATTGGGAAAAGGGGGGGTTTAAAAGGGGGGGGGGGGGGTGTGAGGTGTTGGGGGGAAATGGTTGTGTTTTAAAAAGGGATTTTTAATTTTTTAAAATATGGGGTGTTGATGTTTTAATTGTGTGTATGAGTTTTGTATTTGCTTGATAGAACCAAATTGTTCCCTTTGGGGCAGGGGCGATTGAGGGGCCCCGGGGTAGAAGGCCCCCCAATTTCCCCCCCCCATTGAGGCTTTTTTTTAAAATTTTAAAAAAAGGGAGGCCGGGGAAAGCTTTTCCGGGAAATTTGGGGCCTTAAAACCGGCCAAGGGAAATAATATACCCTCTTTTGTTCTTAATTAAATGTCCCGTGCTTTTCCCCCTTGGGGGGAAATCCTTGTTTTGGGCCCACCTTTTTAAAAAATTAAAGAAGTTTTTAATAAGGCATACGGGGTCGGGCCGCCCATTGGCCCCTTGTCCCCGGGGGAAAAATTTTCCTTTTTTTCATGGGCTTCCCCTTAGCCCCAAATAATTGTCCGAAATTTGTTTATGGGGTTTTCGTTTGTGAATTTTTTGGAAATTGTTTTTTGGGGAAATTGGTGTTGGTGGTGGGTGAAAAATGTTAGGTGAAATTTGTCCTTGTTTGTTAGAGGGGAAAAGTGAATTTTGGAAACAACTTTCCCCAAAAACCAACTTTTTACCTTTTGTGGAAGATAACCTTCTTAAAAACTTTAAAATTTTGGGGATGGGTGAAATTGGTTGGAAAGGGGGAAAAAAAAAATTCCCCCCCCATTTTTGAAACCCGGGTTTAACCCTTTCCCTTTAACAGATTTTCCCTTGGCCATTTAATTAAAATTTGGGAAAAGGGGTTTGGGTGTACCCGTAATCAAAATAAAACCGGAATTTCGGGAAAGGGGAAGATTAGGGAATTTCATTCCTTTTAAAATTGGAGTTTTTCCTTTGTAAATTTTTAAAATTTAAAAAATTTTTAAAAAAAAAAAAAATTTTAAAATTGAAAGCCCCGTTCCTTTTGGGGTCCCCACCCCAACCCTTTAGGTCCTCGTAATTTTGGATTAAGAGGTTTGGGAGGTTTCCAAAGGAAACCCCAAAAAAACCGCCGTGACCAGGGGGGTTAAGCTTTTCACATTTCTAAAACGGGGTGACTAGGGTTTAAACAATAGGTTGTCTCCCAATGAGATTACTTGTTGAATATAAATTGAGGAAACATACAGGTAATCACCCCCCTAAAAAAATTTTCCCCACAGGACCCAGGGTAAAAATTTTTGGGGCCCCCCTTTCCCTAAATAATCATTTTCCCCCTCAAGGGAGGTATCCTTGGTCTGATAAAGGGCCTTGATCAAAGGGAATTTGATTTGTGCACCAATGTCCCCCCCAAATTCCCATAAAAGCGTTGTATAAACTCCCTTTGAGTAATACAAGAGTTTTTTATTTTTACAATAAATAACCTTCACCCCAGAACAAAAGGGAAAAATAAATACAAAATGGATAAAACAAACCCTTAACAATAATAATCCCTCAGTGATCCCGGCACTGGGGATTCCCGTTTCCTTTTTCAAAATAGAATGGAGACTATCCAAAAGGGTTCCTGTCTTTTAAAGCCAAACTGCAAAATTTTTTAAACGGGCCCTTGTACTAACTGACACACTCCCCAATAAATTATATAGTAATTAGCTAATATAAAATTTGCTACCAATCTCAACAGCCCAAAACCCCCAAAACTTGTAAATTCCCCTGCCTCACCCTCCTACAAAAAACCCAAACTCCAAAGGACGACATATCAGTTTAAACTGAATCACAGTAAAAATGGCAGTTAACCGGGAAATTTACCTGGAAGAGTCCGGGGTCAACCCCCCCGGGGGCCCCGGTTTTTGGACCAGGCCTCCTGTGTATCAAGCCGATAAACCCAAAGGCTTTTTGCTGCTGGTTTGCACGCAAACCAACGTACGACCCACACCCCCGGCTGTCGGAACCGACTTTGGGTGCTTTTCCATTTGCCGCTTGAAGACTCCCAAAGGGGTCTGTTAGTAATCCCCCTTAAGTATGCGGGGGGTTTATTAACAGCCCTCGGGCCCCCTAAACCTTATTGTTTTGGTTTTTTAACGTGCTAGTGACACCCCAGTTTTTTCATTGGGGGGATTTTGGGCATCGTCCCCAAAGGGTCTTTTGCTTTCGTATGAGTGTTTTTTCGTGTGCAATTTCCCGGGTACTATCCCCTAGGTTTTTCCCAGGTGATATAATAAAGAAAATCTCCCCCCCCCCCCTGCTTTCCAGGGAATACGGGCTTAGGAACCCAAGCCCTCCCGTAATTGAGGTGTTTTATCTCCTTTATGGCGCCTTTAAAGGGTTTTCTCTCTACATTTTCTAGTCAGAAATTTTTAAACCGGGCCTTTGAAAGGGTTCTGTTAGTGGCAGCAATATTCCACCCTAGATAAAACAAGGGGACCTGAAGAGCGTCATCATGGGCTTGGCCCCCCCTATTTTTGGGAAGGTTTCTTTAAATCCATCCGTCACTGCCCCCACTTGCAAACATCACGGGCCTTTTGCAATACAATATGAAAAGGGGTACCCCTGAAAACTATCACAAAGTAAACCCCCTGAAATCTGGAAACGTCAGGCTCCCAACTTTCAGGGAAAAATTAAAAGAAGTTGTTATAAAGTGGAAACAAAAAAGGTTTATAAAACAAACTAAGACATAATGGGCCAAAAAAAGGGCGGGTTTACCCCTAACTACAAAATTATATAAATGAAAACTCACCTTTAAACATTTGTTCTAGAAAAAATAAAACATTTTTTTTTCCCGACTGATATCAAATAAAACAGTGGCAAAAATTTTCTCCAAAAAATGAATTTTTTCAATATTAATTTTGTCGCTACACACATACGGGCGAAATAACCAAAAGGGCCCTAACCCAATTCCTACTACAAATGGGCGCCAAAATTTTTTAAAAAGGGAAAAACGGGAAAAATTTGGGGTAGGGGGGATTTAAAATTTTTTCTAAAAAACAAACCCAAAAAGGGGTTTATAGTAGTAAACAGATAAAGTCTGAGGCCTCCATTACAATCTCTTTTTCCAAAAGGGCCCACAGTACTCGCTCCCATCTTTTTTCCTCTTCCCATTCTGCCCTAGACAAGCCTTTAAGCCACAAAAACC